TGCTCTTCTTCCCCATAACCGTTCCACAATCTGACCCTCCCAATGCTGCCCCCACCCTATGTATTTATACTATCCCAAGCCTCGCTTTTGGCAGGCTGGAGAGATGGCTCTGCAGTTAAGAGCACCTGCTGCTCTACCAAAGGACTTGCATTCAAGAACACAGCACCCACATGGTGGCTCACAATTCTCCAGTTCCAAGGGATCCAATGCCCTCTTCTGGCCTCTGCAGGCATCAGGCATGCATGTGGTGCACAGACAGACACATTGGTACATAAAGATTTTTAAAGTCTCTCTTCCATATAAAATATAGAAAGCTCACCTCAATTCTAATACTCTTACTTTAAGAATAATGTTAAAAATTTCCCCAGTTTGAAAAATGTTAACTGCTTCTGAACTTAGAATTACTAGAATGTTTACTCAGTTTTAAAAATAATTTAAAGGTGTATACAGATGATCCATTAACAATCCTATTAACTATCCAGGGGTTTTAAAATATTTGATACAAATATATATAACATTAGTTTTAACAAACAAAATTAGCCAAGTATAGTGAGTAACACATGCCTGGAATCCCAGAGATATTGGCAGTGAGGAACCTGAGGAATCAGTCCAGTCCAGCCTGAACTACACTAACAGGCCCATGTCCAAAATAATTACTATTACTAGTTTATTATCATAAGAAAAATAAATCAGGCATGCCTGTGATCCCAGCACTCAAGAGGCAGGGCCAGAAGAATCACAAGTTTGAAGCCATTGTGGACTTCATATTGAGATTCTGTCTCAAAAATAAAATAAAAAAGGGGAAAACAGATGAAACTAACTTCAATCTATTGTAGCAATGGTTTTCAACCCTCCTAATGCTGCACCCTTTAATACAGTTCCTTATGTTGTGACCCCAACCATAAAATTATTCCACTGCTACTTCATAACTCTAGTTTTGCTACTGTTATGAATTGTAATGTAAATATCTGATATGCAGGATATCTGATATGTGACCCCCAGGGGGGGTCACAACCCACAGGTGTTTGAGAACCACTGTATTATGGTTAGCAACCACATGTAATATGATATTGAAGATAAAACGGTTATGCAATTAAGAAAATATTGTAATCACACTTAAATCAAGAACTATCCACTGTAAGATTCTTTCTTAA